GCACATAATGTCGCTATAGAGAGATACCAAATCCCTATTAAACATTCCCTACCAAGTCTATCGTCCCCTACCGTTATAATTGGTGTCCCTGCCAGTATCTGGACCTAGGTAAGTGTGGAACTCTGAATTGTCGTGAGAACTGGACTGGATGGAGAGGCTAGCTGGCTGGTAGCGAAGACAGAACTGACTGCATCCAGGTGATGAACAATGAGAAGGCGGAGACGAACGTGGTGGAGACAATAGGATAATCAACAGCAACAGCAACAATAGCAACAACCAAAACCAATCACTATCAATGGGAGAAACAGGTTCAAAGGAGTTACTTCCTGCCTTCAGTTATCTAGCCTAGGTAGCAGCACCGATTAAACCTAACGCAGTCGGAACGGATGAATACGTCAAAACCAATCAGGATCGGAAAGGCAAGATACGACGCCTTCATCAACCTGAAATCACTTCAGAAATCTTCTGCTTCACTCCGTCTCACACTAAACAACGAGATTCGGATTGTATTCAACACAAATATCAGTGAAGTCAGTGAGTCAGTCAGTTAGTGCTTTTATATTGGTCTGAAACTTGCACTGCGTGTCGTCACGAAAAGCATTTCCAACATCCAGTTTCAGCTTTTTATCAATAGCTACCACCTTCACTGGCCGTTGCTATAGTGAAAATGAAACCGCCAGCCGGCCTATCAGAAAGTATCAGCAACGTTGAGGAAGAAGGTCGTCCAATGAGTGGTAAAGTTAAGACTTTGGGACACAATTCGTGGTGTTTTCTTCTGTTTATGTGATGAAAGTTTGATTAAAATTATAAGTTTCCAGACAGTAGGTGTTACGAACTTTCTGGAATAATTTGAGCGCCCAGTCAGATAGAAGATTCATTATAAAAAATTTAAATTAATCCCAGTGTGTTAAGAAAATCGAAACAAGATTTTTCTGAACGTTTCGCCGTGTAAGCTGCCACAGCTTCTTCAGTAGATTTATTCGGATTTTTATTAATGATCAAAATATATATAGTCAAAAATTTTGACATACATTGAAGTCAGTTTATTTGAAGGTCATTTGTCCATGGACATTTTTCACCAATAGAAATATGTAAGCAGTCATCACATATATTTGTAATTGTTGTTGTGTTCACTCTTCTAAAGTTGATTTGTAAAGATTAGATTTCTATAAGTGTGTGTGTTTTAAAAGGTCATGGAGGCTCATAGAGTGTTCGTTGTTTTTTTCATCTGCCTTGCTTCCTAAGAGTTTGCCATATGGGTGATAAGTCTATACCTTCTTTCCTATTCACTGCATTTGATGTGGTTAAAGTGTGCAAGGCTTCACAGGTCAATCTTTCTTTATGTGAATGAAATCCTCTCCCAAGAATTTCGACATTGTCGAAATTTATCTTATGTCCACTGTCTATAGATAGCATGCATTGCAATAGCCGATCTTTTTGCCAGACTTTTTAATTCTACTTCGTTTCTAGGTGAATGTTTCGTGCATAGTCCATGTTCATTCACTCTGACCTTCACCTGTCTACTGCTTTCCCTATGTAGATAGCGTGCATCACATTCTGAACACTTTATCCTGTAGACACAATTACTTTGTGACATTTTGGGAACTATATCTTTGACATGCGCCAACGCTTTCTTCAGAGAATCAGAAGGTTTGACATAGACTTCAATATTATGTGAAGCAAATGGTCTTTGAAGTTGTTCAGCTGTGTGTGTCCTTTCGATATGGAATGGCTATAGTCGATAGCCAAAATTTTTCAATTTTTTGTTTTCCCCTATGCTCCTTTTTATTGATAATATTATCTAGTAGCTTTTCCGGATAACCATTTCCAATTAAAATCTGTTTTATATTGGATACCTCGTTTTCCATATCGTTATTATCTGTTTTAATGTTTCTAGCTCTGTTGACAAGATTTAAAGCCTTCTATAAAATCTCGCGTTCGTGTTTGTTTTGGGAGCTATTGAAAACCAAACTGAATTCCCAAGTTTTGGTTTCACTTCTCTAAGTAGATTGCATAATTGTGCTTTTACTTTGTTCCTAGTTAGTACTAGACAATTTGATTATTGCTACTAATGCGTATGGACCTGTTTCGATATATTTCAAAGCGTTCTTGTCATAGTCGTCTTTATTAAGAATTACAGTGATACTCCCTTTGTCAGCTTTAGTTATAACAATAGATTTATCTGATCTGAATGCTTGTTTATAATGGATGACGTTCGTTCTTCGACAAATCTGGGATGCCCTGCTCTTGATTCGATATGGATACATCCAACCTTTTGGCGTAATTCATTAGCTTCATCATCAGGTAAAAGAGTTAATAATAAAGGTTCCATGACAGGAAGCTAATTCTATCACTGTCAGTGGTTTTCGAGTTATGTTAAAGTTTAATCCTTTCTCAAGTAATGCTGTTTCATGTACATTAAGTTCTCTATCTGATAAGTTGCATACTGTCCTTGTGTTTGTCTGTACATTTGATTAATTATTTGATTAAAATTATCATTTGGAACTTGTTATGTGCTCTTAAGGATAACCAATCAACCATGAGTATTCCATTCCATTGTGTTTTCAAAACTAGATAATTTAGAGCGAACAATTGGTTTCAATATCCAAAACTGTTTGGTATTGAAGTGAAAGTTCGGGGTAGTTAGTATTGTCAAAGGAACGCATATTAAAAACGTCGCCGAGGACCATGCACATGGTCCGGGGTTCGAGCCCACGCCGGCGCACACCTGATATCTATGGTCGGCCTGCAAAATTTGGGCTACCGATATCCATGCTGAAAATTCCATACTTGTACCAAAAATACAGTGTGGAATCAAGCTGTAAATCAAAAATAAAGTAAAAAATAAAAATAAAATAAATTTAGAATAGAATATAAGACAAAATGAGAATATGTAGGACAAATGGGTAATATCCAGAATGTAAGTTTCATTGGGGTGTGTGTGTGTGGCGTGGGGTGAGTTATATTCAATGGTATGCGAGAAAAATGATTACCACAAAATGCATACAAACAAATACCAGTACCAAATGAGGAACACTGATTGTATGTTCAAACAAGGGCTGATATATATCAAGTGTAGTGAAACAATAAAGAGGTTAAACTGTGAACAGTAATAAAATAATAATAATAATGACTTAATAAGCTTATATATGTCCAAACCAAGTTCACATTTAACAGTTTGAAAAAAATTTGGCCATTGGGTAATATATGATATTCATTATAATAAAGAGGGTTTTATTTTGTATTTACTTCCCAATGAATGGAAAACAAATCGATATTGTTGCTCTTACTGACGTTTCGCTATCTAATGCTGCTGCTAGTAGCTTTATGAAAGCACTATTATTAAACCGGAATTTACAAAAATCCACTCAGTATATATACATATATACAACAAAGAGTTAAGAGGTGAGAAAATAGACTACTCAGGTCAAGTTAAAAGGAGGACATATTCAAAGTAAAATAACAATGAAGATCACTAAACCAAATATCAAAGGTAATAGTACATCTATTATGATATCAAAACAAAGTTTACCAACTTGATTATCGTTCGTCTGTCTGGGCTGATTTTTCGTTGACAAGTTCGTCAATTGGTATAGATAACAAAACCAGGTGTAGATTGTTGGATTTGATCAGTGTGTAGAATTATAAAAGCAGTGTGTGTATGTGTGTGTGTGTTTACATAGTGAACTTGCTCATCATATTCGTGTTGATTTTGTCACTTCATGAGGGAGGGGAGGCAGGTGTTGTAACCAGGTCAAATTCTGTTTAATCCATCGTTCCTATTCAGCTCAGACAATTTGGATTCCACTTGATGCTATGAAGTGCTTCTGACGATGTGAGACGTTCTTTGTGATTTCTGAAATGCTTTATCTGTATGATGATTTCAATATTGTCAAAATGAATTTTGTGGCGTGATTCTGTGTCATAGCGTGTAGACGACCTATGGTGGGCTGATGATTTTTCAAGTTTTTTAGATCAACTGGGTTCGGTACTCACTCGATATACAACCATAAATGACTCATCTATTTTGCCTTCCTATGGTTTGGTTTGTAAGAGTTAGTTATATTTTTACGAGTTGATCACGGATTGATATCAGCTAGAGAACCACTGAGATCCAGGGAGTACTGGACAGCTGTTGCATCCTAGTTGGAAAATCGTCGGCAGTACGCACCCACTGGGCTTCGAACCCATGACCTTCAAGTTACAAGGCAAGCTAACTAGTATATCATTCAGCCACTGGGACCGGATTCAATGGCCAGTGCATGAATTCTAACTTCTTCCGATTCGTGATTTACCGCGACCCCAACCTTTGTCGTTGGTGCAACATTCTACCACACACGTTACATCTAATTGGAACTCTCTGGTCACGACATCTCACTAGAACTGACTCCAGGAAACTCCATCCTGTAGCAAGTCACTAGCAAGCATCAGAATAGTTTTTTATGGTTCGAATCCCAGTGGAGGCGTACTACCGATGATTCCCAAACTAGAATGAGACAGCTGTCCATTACTCCCTGGTTTTCAATGGTTCTCAAACTGATATCAATCCGTTATCAACTCGTAAAAACCGTCTATTTTGATGTGGAGTTCACTACCTACTGGAAGACGCACAATGACACTATTTATGGTGATTTGGTTACACTTTTTCCAAGTCACGAGCGCGTAAAGATAAAAGTTCTGGCAGTTCAACCTATATAACTAACTCCAAATGAGCAGCTGAACTTGTATACACATACACTAAAGCGGTCATCTTTGATACACTGTGTGAGTAATATTCTGGTCGAGAAACTGATGTATGGTTCTGCAGCACTGAAAGTTCTTTCCACTGATCTGATCAACTTATGGTTAAATGTATTATTGCATATGTATCACCTTTGAAATGTACTCTTAAGTAAAGTTTTTTTCTTATTCACAGTATCACACGTAATTTCACCAACTGCTGTGTTTCCAGTCAAATATTGATTGCTCTTCTATTTTATTTATTTATTTATATATTCAAGCTCCTGGAACACCTCCACAAGTTTTGCAAGCGAATGTTGACTCTCCAGATTCTGTGATTGTCACCTGGAAGCCACCGATTGAAGCCAACGGTCGTATAACTGTAAGTAGTGGAATTATAAAGTTCGCCTATTTTATGGCTGCTCATATTTATGAATGTCAACGCAAATCAAATATCTATAAACCTCTACTCACAGTTATTACACTCTAGTTATCATTGTTTGATCTACTTCAGCATTTCCACTTAGATCCTGTGGGTTAATTCAAAATCATCTGCGTAAGTTGTGAAGATCAGTAAGCTTCGTAAACCACCACTTGTCTAGAACCACTTCAAATCTAAAGACACCTAAGTATTTAAGAAACATTGTCGTGAACTCTAGAAACCTGGGAACTTTAAATTTAACCACTTCAAAAAGGGTGTTAAGTTAACTGCTGATCAGCACATCGACTATAGGAACTATGTAACTATAGTTACATTGAAAAGAGGAACCATTAAAAGCAGTTATGACGACATTCCAGTTGGAAGACACTCAACACTGGGATAGGAAAAAGTGATCACATTAGTCACAGTGACTGCGAATTGCTGTTTTTCGGTATTCAGTCCCAAGAATTTAGATGAAGACTAACTAACCTTTTCTTCTGAAATCAGCCATTATCGTCAGACTTAGTTAGTTAGCAGCCTATCCAACTTATCCATGTGGTTCTTGAGACCTGTGGGTAAATTGCTTGACGGTAGGACTGGTTGACTGACTGGCCTCAACGTATAACTTTGCACAGGTGTGCAGCAGTTCAGCTTGCCACACTCCTTGCATTTACCACAGAAAGCATCAGAAGGCAGTCAAGAGATATTCAAAAAACACAGAGAGAGATAATAAACACAAATGTGAGTGAGGAGAAAAGAAAAGTAATATGGAATAACAATAGTAGAGTTTTATCGGATATGAAAAATCACAAAGAGTGAATTCATCTGCACCAACCAGCCATCACTGAAGACTATTATGAGCCATATCACCTACTGTCTCCAGCCCTCATTGGTTCTCAGCATCCCGAGGACTCCAACCATGCAGTTAGTCAGTCTACACCTCCCCACGTGGTTGGCTAGCTAGCTGGCTTAAACCACCTGTTGAGGATTTCATTGGCTGATGGAGCCGAGTTTTCGTCTGTCTACCAGCAGTTAATGGTTTTCCAACCTGATCCATCCTATGTCAGTTTACACCGCCAGTCAGTCCAGGATGGCGATGCCCGGGCAGGGACGCATGCGTGAGCAACACACGTCCTAACTATCTCAGTCGGTTTAACCACTTCACTGCCTCGTCGATTGATTTCCCCTCTTCCTTCCTTACCTTACACTCGACCGATGCCTTACATCAGTATTGCTTGCTCACTGTGTGACACCTACCACCTAACACGGGAGACAGAACGCAGACACGTATGATCAAAGACAGCCAGCTAGCCTGGCTTTTCATATCTTCCACTTTGTGAATGGCCAACCAGTCTTCCATAAAGAGGACAGAGTGAAGTACTGGGCAGTACACACACCCTTTGGTCGACAGAGAGCCAGCCAGCCGGATGCCGCATCTACTAAGCCAGAGATGGTGTAAGCTAAGTTGGCTGAAAAATGCCAAACGAGCCCTCTGTATCTGTGCTAAGATTTCTTCATCCACCAAATCCGCCCACTGGCCGATGCAACTCACTAACACTCTCAGCTAGCCAGCTAGACACCACTTCACCCCCTGTCCTTAGGCTAGTAGTCAATGTAGTTTAGTGCTGTAACATCATCGTATATTTGACAGCAGAAGGAGCCCATCTCCTCCATGCCAAACATTCGAGGATTGCTGCTCAAGGTGTTGAGAAAACCATGCTATATTTTGTCAGCGTCTACATCTAGGAGGGAGGACTACATCGTCATCCACATATTCTAAGTCAACGAGATTATTCCCTGATGGCAACAAGTCAGTCCTTGAGCCTCTGAAGTTAATTAGAGTTAAGTTCATTAGTACTTCTTTAATGATATTAAAGAAGAATGGGGACAATGGGTATCCCTGACGGACTCCACTAATTGTCACCACTTCACATGACAACTCTCCGTAGACTCTCACTTGGCTGGCTGACAGACTGCATGAGTTCGAGTAGGGTGAGTGCTTGGACCAGTGCGATGTATTTCCTCCATACTCTCCTCACAGCCAATCACCGTCAAAGTACCTCTCGGTCGACGGAATCCAATGCTCCCTTTAGGTCGGCAAATATGACGAAGTTTGCCTATGTTTCAGAATCCGTCTAAGGGTGAATGTACGACCAAGACACCCTCTTCCTGTTCTTAAGTTTGCTTGGTTCTCCCGTGTTTGTTCCCACCTAGCACCGCTTAGTCTACGCATGATTATTGAGCCTAGAACTTCAGATAACATATCGGCCCCACTAATCCCCCTGTGATCATCACTGGACTACTTATCTCCCTCCTTTTATATTGAGATAATCAGTGACTTACATAAGCCCGACGGGACTATCTCTGATTCCCAAACGCTGTCTAATACGTTAGTTAACACAGATAGTAAACTGTCTCCATCATCCTTTAACATCTCTGAAGTCATTCCATTAGGTTCCGTTGCTTTGCCTCGTTTCAGACTAGTGACATCTTTTGCAACTTCCGTTGGGGGCAAGAAACCTGTATTTATATCCCATTCGGGAGGTGTTGGATGCCGGGTAGGCTAAGAGTGGCTGTAGGCCAATTAAACTGCTCCTCAAAGTGTTCTTTTCAACATTCTAGTTGTCTGTTCTGAAAGCTAATTATTTTGCCATTTTTCTCGGAGACTACTTTGTTAGGCTAGTTTCGTTGCAAGGTATTTGCCTTTCCTTCAGAAACTCAAAGCAATATAAATAATCGATAATCTGTTATCTGAATCAATATTGTTTCACCATCAAAGTTTACTCCAGCACTGCTTTAAAATGCTCTTCCTTCATTTCCTTCAAAAATTTCTTAGCGGCAAGTAGAAATTTGCTTGAAATAGAGCGTGGGTATAAATTGTTACCCATCGTGGCGATTAGGTCATTAAGACAACATGAATCGAAGTGAACATGTTACATTCAAGTGTTGGTTTGTAGGGATTTAATTGGTTACAGGATTTCATCATGAGATGATATTGGTTAGAGAACCATTGGAAAACCTGGGAGTACTAGTATGCACCTATCACAAGGGGTTCGAACCCAAGACCTTCTGGTTACAAGGCCAGAGAGCTCGTAGACCATTGACCAGCCACTAGGACCCGCCCTATCCAATTGCCAGTCCATGAATTCTTACTTCTGCCAATTCACGACATAGCGCGACCACTAGCCAATGTCTTCGGCAAGCATTTGTCCTCACACCCAACCTGCTGCATCTTGCTGGTCACGACTTCTCACAGAACCCCAGGTAACTACCTACCTGCATGGGGCAAGTCGCTAGTGAGCATCTCATCGATATTCATCGACTGCTGAAGAGCCTCAAACTAGGACGAAACAGACGTCCAGCACTCCCAGGTTTTCCAATGGTTCTTTAACCAATCTCAGTTCCTGATAAAATCCTATAACTGAACATGTTGCATCTTCCTAAGTAGAAGACTGCATTAGCCTGCTGACCTAAGCAGGTCGCCACTAGTGCATTTTACTTAACAAGTGTTGATGGTTTGGAGTGCAATTACAGCTGTAGAATATTTCACTGTCGCATTAAAACACAAAAGATTAAGATTACATTGATATTACTATGCCTGGTAGGATGCTGTTACGTGTTTACCAATAAAAATTACATCTCCGAAATTCAATATCAACCCAACTGACAGTTCATTGTATAGGCTATTTCCAAACTGTAGGCTTTTTTGGGCGGCAAAACAGGCTACTTTAAATAAACAACATTTGCCGCCCAATGACATGACGGAATGATCAAAGCATTAATAAAAAATGCGAACAAAAAAGAGCCCTTGATGTGGATTGAAAATGTAGGTTGCTTAGCGATTTAATCAGGCCGCGAATTACTTAACACAACAATAATAATAATAATAATCCGTGTCTCTTGAAATACTTTTAAAATTAAGAGCCTAATCTGTCCGCCTCTCTCTCTCTCTCTCTATCTGTCACGGTAACTAGAAAAGTATAAGTCATATAGGGTAAACTATACACTATGTATTTTTGTGGGATTCAGCTAACCTCAATAGGTGATTTACAGTCTTGAACGTATATGAGGGTGAAACTTTACGAAGTTAACTTTTTATCAGCAGAAAAAAGCCCTATTGATATCGGATGGTTGAAGGCAGTGGGCCACAAGAAGCCTTGCCTAGACCTACGTTTCATGCTAGTTAGCACTCACCAGTCAGTTGTCAGCAAGGCGTATCTGGGAGCATCGACAGCTCAGCGGGAGCGTCTCTAACCCACAGCGTTAATCACAGGGTGATGTCAGTGCGAATCTCAGCAGGGCCATGAGCTGTTCCTTCAACAGATTGCAGATACTCCTCGCTGACTGACTGGTGAATGCCAACTAACACGAAACCTAGGACTAGGCAAGGCTTCTTGTGGCCGATAGCCTCCAGCCGTCTAAAATAACAACCCTTTTTCCTTTTTGGAAATTCTACAAAACTCTGTTTATTCTACAGCAGCTTTCCCCTACCAATGACTTCTCTTTTTTGGGTTTATTGCTTTCGCCTTATAGGGCTATAAATTGTATTATACTACAAGACCAGAAGATTCACTTAATTCATGGTTGATTGCTAGAACAGCACAAGAGAAATATCAGCTAACAAAACTCGTCCCAAATGCTACCTATTATCTAAAGGTTAATGCATACAATGCTGCAGGCGATGGACCCGTCAGTGAACAATTACCCATTGTAATAACACCTGGAGGTGAGTTGCCGGCATTATATAATACCTTCTCATTTATCCCACATTATTTAATATCCCGTTTCTTTGTGTCACTATTATTATTTAACCTATGTTTTTTTTTCTGTTGATGGGTGTGCGTGTGTGTAGCGAGTGAGTTTATACTTACCACTGTAATAGTACTATACTAACTAATGAACTAACTAACCAGTTAACTAACTGACTAATCGTCCGCTTTTCCTGCCCCCTCCCAGTCTCCACCCACATATTATTAACTATTCGCCGCCTCCACCTAATTCTACTCATTCCTTACTAATCCAACCAATCAGAACAGTTTGATACGTCTGTGCATGAATGTTAACCAGCCTCATCCTACTGAATGGTTAGTGGGGAACACTTCTCATTTGATAACAAATCATTTAGCATAACACGTTTGTGTGCAAACATTGTGTCATATGGTATTGATTTTTTTTCATTAAAAATTATGTGTTAACCATCATCAGAGGTGGTGGTTGTGCAGGGGGCATAAAATGTTTCTACTACCAAGATTTGAATAGTTAAAACCATCTTAGGCACCTTAGCTGGCACTCTATTCACTGCAAAGATTTAAACACAATAAAACTGAAGCCGATCTTCCTTTCAAGTTACATTTATCGCAGGTTCCATATCAGAATGCATGAGGAGGTCAAGTAGATATTCGTCAAAGGTATCGCTGACTGTAGCACTGTAGCACAAAGCTATAATTCATGGGTCATTGAATTCCGGTACAAGTAGTTAAATTCTCAGTGGGCTTGGTTTCATAACCTGAAGTTTTCTGGTTCATTCCCCGATCGGCGAAGAAATTCAATAAATTGTAATTGTAAGCTTGATGCGTGGTATATGCGTCTTATTAATCATTTTGGAAGATGTTCCTTTCGACGACATTGGAACATTCTATTGCTTCTACCTATATAAGTGTCATCGCAAGTCTAGGTGAACTTGCAGATACAGTTTTAAGTAGAGTCCACAGAATTTCGTCCTCTAATAGTAGGTATGGGGATGGAAAATGTTTGAGATATGAGGGAAGGAGATGCGGCGTAGAATGTGCGCCTGATGGCTCACCGAAATCTTTGTGCTGTCAACTGCATAATCTGTTTACCCTTGAATGGTAGGTTTATAAAGATGGCTTTCTTCGGTACAGAAGTTGTCTTTTCTGCATGTCGTCTTTCCTTATTGTGACAATTCATAAAGTTTTCTGGATAACCATTGGCTAATAAAACTGAATGTATTTGTCAAAGCTCATCCATCAATGTGTCACTCGTGCATATTTTCACGGCCTTTGAGGACAAACATTTCACTTGGGAACGTTTATACTGGATAGGAACAAAACTGGTGAAATGAAGATATTGTTCACTCCATGTCTGTTTACGAAATATACATCGCTTAATCGTTCCATCATTTCTCCTAGTCTTTGAAATATCCAAGAAACCGAGTTTGTTATTCGACTGGAATTCGGAGGTCACTCGGATATTTGGATGAATATGATTAAATACGGTAATGAAGTTTTCAATAGATTTACCATTATTACCAAAAATGAGTGTATCATCAACATAACGTTTAAGTAGCGTTAATTCTGCGAGCATACCATGAGTTTGTTTCTCTGATTTCGACATGAATATATCTGCTAACAGGGGCCTAAAATGGCCCTCCATCGATTTGTTTGTATGCTTATTCTTGGGAATTGAATCTGATATTTTCTGTTCATGTTAAGATAATTTCTGTAATGCAGGTGACAGGAACTGAGTAAGTTTATCCCATTGCTTGTGATGTAATCACACAAGTGAGATTAACAGTTTCATGAAGAGGAACATCGGTGAATAAAGATTCTGTGTTGACTGAGAACATTATTTCACATAACTATAATTCTTCGGGGATTAATCGCATAGCTCCTAAACTATGTGTATAGTCGAAACAATAGACTACAGCCTTCGCCTACCATGGACTACTTGACCTATTTAAATATGATTGGTCATTAGTATATACTTTTGTTTTATATAACTGAGTAATTGTCATACATTGTATTTTATTTTATTATTGTGAACCAACCATAATAGTTGTAAAGCGATTGTAGAGAAACTATGAAGTGAAGATACCATCGCTCTAAATTTGTCTTCTGTTAATTCGCAATTTTTAGCGCCACATCCAATAAATGTCATCGACCGAGTACTAATTAATCCGCACATCTGCCCGATCAAGTGGACCTTAATGGTTAAAACTTCTTGCTAGGGTTTGCTAAGTAGCTTCCTCCTGTACCTGGCTTTCAACAATTTCCTAATTGATACCAATCTGATGCGGATCAATCTCGATGCCAACCAAATCCCTACAAACTAACTAACGTTGAAAAAGGATGGTTTTTTCATAGTTGTCACATTGAGGATTGATTAAGTTAAGAACCCTCATCTTCAGAAATATAAATAAAATTTGTCCAAGTGTTGGATACGCTGATATCAGAAAGTCAGAGGCAAATTATCTCTTCATTTTAGTCACACAAACAGATGTACTATCCTCCTAGTTGAATTGAATTTTTGATTTTCCCGTCGATTGATTGGACCGAAGTGCTCGGTCTCAGGTTGACATGTCGGCTTCTTGTGCAGATGCTTCAACGATGTCTGGGCATTTAATTAGTATACGATTGGCCACCATCCACCAATCATATCCTCCTAGTTCTCCTTAATGTTCTAAATTCGAATGCGCTTTTGGTCTTACTATATCTGTCGATATTGGCATTTACCAGTAAACATGGCCAAGGACGGGAATTCTAAAAACAAAGTTTCTTAGTTACGCAATTACATGTGATAAGGTTATGAAGAATAAAATTGTGTGTTCGAAACATGATTCAGTGCATAATGATAAATCCAATAAATATATGGAATCTGAATAAAGCAAGAAAAACAGTGGAGGTTTGTGTCGAATACGAAGACGGTAACATCATTGTGCATTTCTTTCGTTGACTTCTCATCAGCTCAGCTCCCTACAACCTCAACAAATTACTATTATTATTATTTTTATTATTATTAAGACTATATACACAAGAGTTTTAACATACTTGCAAATGTCACTCAGTGTCAGTTAGTGACAGCAGACACCGAACGTAATGAACACTGCTCAGAAAATTACACTTTTATAGTTTTTACACAGGGAGTTCAAGTTCAGACAAACAAAGTCAATGCATGCATACAATGGTTAAGGAGTTACTTGATAAAGATGAGAGGTGCGTGAGATGATGGATGGGTAACTAATAAACTGTGTGACAATTCACTGAGTTCAGCTAAAATCAAAGGAATAAACGACATGCAAAATCACACAATATCAAAGGAGGCGAAATTAAAGCGAAAGATTATGTAATCGAATGAAAGAGACAAACAGTGAAGTGTCTGTCACTAACTGACACTGAGTAACATTTGCTAGTATGTTAAAACTCTTGTGTGTATAGTCTTAATGGTAATAATAATAGTAATTTGTTGAGGTTGTAGGGAGCTGAGCTGATGAGAAGTCAACGAAAGAAATGCACAATGATGTTACCGTCTTCGTATTAGGCACAAACCTCCACTGTTGTTCTTGCTTCATTGAAATTCAACAGGGTTCGAGCGGCGGGGGGGGCAAGAAATAAATGTATGAATATTATGGGATTATATACTGCGACGGTGTCCAAGTTTTACGGACACATATGAAAATCTGTCACATATGGATGCGTAGATCATTATGGATAAGATTTTATTTTGATAAATCACACAGTGTGGTGGTATACAGTAATATTAACTGATGCGACCACACACTTCGAGTACAATTTATTATTGCCACTCATAATCATATCATGTCACTCACTCACACAACTCTTTTCCTCCATTTATATACATGAGTGGAATTGATGATTAGACATCTGAATAAATTCAGTAATATAGGATACTGTGCATTCAGAAATAATAATAATATGAGTGTTATTGATCAATTGCAATCACAAGGGAAATAAGACGAGTGATTTTTGTAGTCATAATAAGTAACCTGTTAGAATGTTGTGATGTCCTTGAATCGAAATAGAATACAATTGAAGATTATTTATTATCTTCCTCTGATTTCACTGACTGACTGATTGGTGGTATTAATATCTTCCATATTTCTGGTATTCGCACCGAGTCGTTCCTATTGCATCTGTTGGGTGTAGACTCGATGAACAAGGACTCAGTAATCAATTTCGCTCTATCTCCACCCACCTATATTACTTCTTAGAATTGTAACCCTCTCCCACCGTGCGGTTGTGTGGTTGTGTGTTAATACATGCAGTGCAATTGCTGAACTTTTTTCTAAATTACTCATCCTCTTGGGGTCAATCATTCTTACCTTAGCCGAATTCTTAAGTTCCGCCAATCTGATTACCCCTGATCTACTAGTTTGACCTATATAGCTTACCTCACAGTCATTGCAATGTATTTTGTAAATTATATTATTTTGTCTAGTTGGGTCAACCTACATCGTCCTTCAGCCTACCTACAGACCTACTCCCATCTCAGTGAATAAGTTTGTAGGTCTAAATGACACCACCCTAATTCCTGCTTTATTAAGAATCCCACGTATGGAGGGTCTAAGATGTCCTCTCCCTTATATTCTCTCTTACTTATGTTATCATTACTAGTTTCACTATTATTTGCACTTTGCTTTGGGCCTTTTTTGATCTTCCTATTGAATTTTATAGGTTAGTTATTTGATACCAACGCTTCTTCTTCTATCTATTTTATTTCATCATTTAGGTTTTTGCTGTGCTACTTAGTGCTATTGCTCGGTTTGTTAGACACCAAACCTGTGTGATTGTAATTGATCAATAACACTCATATTATTATTATTTCTGCATATACATTATCCTATACTACTGATGTGTATTCAAATATCTAATCATCAATTCCACTCATGTATATAAATGAAGGAAACAAGAAAGTTGTGTGAGTGAGTGACATGATATGATTATGAGTGGCAATAATAAATTGTACTCG